AAATAAAGATATACTTGGAAAATATAATTCCCCTGCATGGAAGAGGAGTAACAATATTCCTTCTATTTTATAAAAAGATAAAAGTGAAATATTTGATTTAATATCCGACAATGCTATAGGATTCAGGTTAAAGTTATCCATTCACCACCATCAACTAAGCTTTTGGTGCTTACTGCCGTAATCTGCAGTACACTGACCGGCCAATAATATGAATGGTCAGCAGGGTACTAGAGCCAGAAAAATAAAGTCTCAAAATGGTAGGACTTTATAACCGGAGATTCTTTATTTCAAGGACTTTTTTCGACAGGACTTCTTAGTGACAAAATTTAGGACTTTATTTCCACAGGACTTTCTTTTCAGAGAAGTTTTTTGTCGGTTACCGTTTAGCGGAGAATGCCACGTACTTTGCTTGCAAACAAGTTTGGATGCCATTGTTAGCATGGGAACAGTTGAAAATACGTTAAAACAAACTTCAATATTTGTTTTACCCTCCTCCCCATCTTACCTCCATTCTGAGATTGAAAGCTGAGATAAGTTAACTTGCAAAATATTGAAGAGAGAGGATGGACATATAAGGAAACAAAGGAAGCGGATGTATTATACAAGAAAGGAAGTAGGGGAAGGGGGGGCACTAGGATCTACACAGCTATTCAAATTTGGCTTCAGCTGTTGAGATCTGTCCGATTTTAAAATGTCGCAAAGCCTTTGCCCTTTTGTAGCCCTGGATATGAAGATTTAAACGTATCTGTTTATAAATTTAGTTTTGAAGAAGTATTCGATTAGATTTGTTCAAACAGAAATTCGACAGTAAACTAATAAGTTGTTTAGGAACAGATTGATAAAATAAAAATTAACTAATCTAATTCAATTATTAGTATTTCTAATAATGTTCACAAATATTTTCTGTAGATTTCCTGCAATTTTGATTGAAAAGACATCATTTGAAGAATTTAAAGAAATCTGCGAACAAATTTGTAAAGAATAAGAAATGATAAAAAGGAAATAATTGATTCTAACATTGATTAAATGACAAATTTTTAATGAGAATCTGTTCCTAAACATCCAATTAGTTGAAGTCAAACCTTACAGAAATCCAACGTATAGAAACCGCTACGTATAGCAACAAGGCGTCTTTTCCGGGAGAACATTTTTTATATTTTTGAGAAATTAAACGTTTTTGTAAAACATTGTAGCTTATCATTATCATTATCATAATTTCTTTTTTTTACATGCCATAGATATTAAAGGAGCAAAATAGTTTAATATATACATTTGTACTGCTCTCATTGTATTTAAGGTCCCCCAGATTTTATTATGTACTGACAACATAAATAAATGATTATATGGTTATACATAAAATTGCGTATTACTATTAAAAAAAATATTTTATGAGAATCCTATCTACAGTTTTATTTTTAGAAAAAAAAATTCTTAAAAGTATAAAAAAAAAGTTTTCCAGAAATGCTAATATGATTTCGTAAAAATCCGTTTTACCATTCAAAGAAAAGGATTTTATGAAAATTATATCTACTTTACACTGATAATTTAATTTCTCAAAAATATAAAAAATGTTCTCCTGGAAAATACGCCTTGTTGCTATACGTAGAGGTTTCTATACGTTGAATTTCTATCAGGTTTGACTTCCAATTAGTTTACTTTAGAATTTTTGTTACAATTTCGTCGTTGTTAATTTTTAAAAAACCGATTGTCAAAATCATCTCTCCAAAATGAACAGTGAAGGAGGATTTTAAAAATTGAATTTGCACAAATTTGCACCGTAAAACGTCATATGGGTCTCAAATGAATCCTAAAAAAATTCTTTACAAAACTGCATTCTTAGTTCAACTACATATACATTGCCAGTCACTCCCTTTAAACGACGACTTTAAACTCGTAAAATGATGTAAAGGTTAACTTTGTTTTCAGCCTTGAATCTAGTTATGCGACAAGAAATAAGACTGATTTAACTTCTACACAATCGTTTCTAAATCCTGTTTTGTCAAAAGAAAAAATTTGAAAAATATAATTGTTAGAATTTCTTCTAAATCGATCTGCAGTTCAATTCAAACCAACAAACTGTGGCCCGACTGTCGTCTTTGTTTTTCCTTTTATTTTAGATAATTCGCTAAGGATTTGTAATATGCATTTGTTGCAACTAGAATAACTCTAAAATGTTGAAGAAAAATTCCCAAATCCTGACCGATATTTTATATTCTAAATCAAAAAGTCAACGAGTATTCCACTGCTTTCTGGTTCTCAAGTATTAAGTAGTGTTTAGTGGTAAAAATATACAAAACAAAATAAATATATATTTTTTTTATTTTCAAAATCTGGATCCGGATGAATTGTTAAGACCGGATCCAGTTTCCGGATCCGGATACAAATAAAACAGATGCTAAGGCCCACACTGGGGGATAGCTAATCTCTACTTGTGAGAGTCAAAGAGAACATTGACCCCAACATGGAAACCATATTCGAGAATTTCTTGTCAAAAATTCATAAAATAAACATTGAATTCCCTTAAATATAAAGTACAAAAATATTGTTGTGATGTTAAAAGACGTCCAAAACTTAACTAGTCCAGAGTCTAGACCTTTTTAAAAAAAAGATGCTTCATAAATCATAAGGAAATTAATTCGCTTTTAACGCATAACCTGTTAGTGATAAATAATTATCAAAATATCTTTTTAATTCAAATTCAACAATAATTTTTAACAAGAGTTTTGGGAAAAAAGATAGAAACTTGACTTTGAGAGTGTTTCGCGCCCATCTTCTATTTCAACTTTTAATTGCGACTTCAAATGTGAGCATTTTCTCTTCGCTAATACAAAACACAATAGCAAGATAATTTCCCAGATTTATTAATTTTTTTCGTGGATTTTCAAAATTTAACAAAAAAAACTAAATTATGACAATTTTTTCAATTTTAAGCATCCATTAATCTTTCCAAACTAGTCCAAAATAAAACCTGGTTCAAATTGAGCCCCATAAAAAAAAATTCTGATTAGGACTGCTTACCGTTGTGAGAAGGACTCCACCGGAGACCTAAACAGGGACTCCCTCATCAACTGCATCAACGAGATCGCCCTCAACACCCCGGACCAGGAGGAGAAGGTTAAGTTTGAGCCCGGGTTGAAGAGAGGAAAGGTTTATGTACCAAAATACAATGATGAGGAGTTGGCAGCTATGGCAAAACAAGCGGAGAACGAGGAGTCAATCAGGTAGGATTTTGGTATTCAAATATAAACTTAAATTAACTGTGCTTAAAGGGACTGTAAGCGTAATTTCAAATGACTCTACATGCAATGCCATATTACCACCTTAAAAAGTCTTCATCTGATGAAAAATGTGCAGAATATTGTCATAATTCTAAATTTAAAAGTTTTAAAATTTTGTTAATTTCTTTGTGTCTTCCTTCAGTAGAAATCGCTTTTGTAAAGAAACTCCAACAATTAAAAATAAAAAGTTTTTAAAACTAAAAACTTAAACATTAAAGTTTAATCCATGCTTGATCTCACAAAACTTTGTTATCTTTAATAATGGAGGGCAACTTGAAATTAGACTTACAGTCACTTTAACAGTCATGTTTATTGAGATACACCGCATATTGTATATTAGCTCTCAGCATACAAAAAGTCAAGCTTTTCTTAGTTGTCTTTTGGATTTGGGGCTATTTATCAAAATGTGGACTTTTATAAAGACTTGATTTTTAAGTTAAAGTAAATATAAACTTGGTAGAAAACTTATTGCTTTGTAAGTTCTTGGAAATATTTGCTTTTATGTCAATTTTTGCATTTAAAACAATTCGCTATTTTTCATTTCTGCCTCAACATTTCCTCCAAAGTTAGGACATATTTTTTTAATTTTTAAACTTGAAATTATGATTTAAATATTTAAAACTGTTAAGATTCATTAGTTTTTTTGGATATGTCACAATAGAAATAATGTTGATCTATTAAACATTTTATTTTTGGATATGTCACAATAGAAATAATGTTGATCTATTAAACATTTTATTTTTGAACTCTTTTACCAAGAAATGTGCCAACATTCAGTTGTGAGGAAAATGTCAAATTGAAAGTTAAATCCTGAAAACATGATGTCGTAATTTGATTTATTCCAGACATTCCTCATCCCCCTCCATGTACAATATACTTATCTTTGTATACAATTCCTCCTCCCCTGTAAAATAACTATCCCTGAAATCTAGACTGGACCCGGAGGAGGAAGCTGCCTTGTCTATAGCTACCCTGGATGATATTATGGCTCTGGCAGATATTCTCAACACTAATCCTCAAGATTTTGTAATGGAAGCATATGCTGACCCTCTTCAGTACTTTGAACCAGATCCACCAAATACAACTAAACCTGAGGAGATACTTGAGAAAATAAAGAATAATGATAGTAATACTAAGGTAAAGAGGGGAGAAACACCCAAAATGCAAGTTTACTAATTACACGAATTATGCCAATTACTAGGAAGTTTGTTTGAACAATATACATGTTCATTAATTACACTAATTACATTAATTACTAGAATATTTGTCTGAACAATATAAAAGTTGACTAATTATACTAATTACTAGGATATTTGTCTGAACAATATACAAGTTTACTAATTACACTAATTACGCTAATTACTGGGATGTTTGTCTAACAATATACAAGTTTACTAATTACACTAATTACACTAATTTCTAGGATGTTTGTCTGAACAATATACACGTTTACTAATTACACTAATTTCACTAATTACTAGGATGTTTGTCTGAATGAACAATATACAAGTTCACTAATTACACTAATTATACTAATTACTAGGATGTTTGTCTGAATGAACAATATACAAGTTCACTAATTACACTAATTATACTAATTACTAGGATGTTTGTCTGAATGAACAATATACAAGTTCACTAATTACACTAATTATACTAATTACTAGGATGTTTGTCTGAACAACATACAAGGAATGAGTGAGAAGTTAATCTGTGACATCTTTGAAGCTATTCGAGGAAACGAAAATCTAACCAAGCTTTCAGCAGTCAACTGTGATGTAAGTTAATTTTATTTATAATCTTTATCTCTTCAGTGTAAATAACCGTTATATGGTCGATCCTTGAAACAAGAAAGCTGAGAACTTTAATCAGAGGCCAAATTTAAAGAATTTGAGCGGTGGCTTAAATTTAAGCCGCGGCTTAAATATGGTTGGTTCCACTTAATATTGTATCAAATGTTTCAAGATTTAAGCCGGAGCTTAATTTAAACCAGGTTTTGGCGGATTTAAGCCACGGCTCAAATTCTTTAAATTCGGCCTCTGTTTAAATTTTTTGCCAACATTTTAATTGTTTGACAAATATTCTAAAAATTGATTTTTGTAGATAAGCGACTTCGCTATTGCAACCCTTTGCTCATCCCTGGAACAGAACTCAACCTTGAAATCTCTAAGTGTTGAGAACAACAGGATATCTCCTGATACTATTGCAGACCTCTTTGATTCTATTTCCAGTCCAAACAACGGACTTATTGAACTTCGTGTAGCGTCCCAGGCACAGCAAGCTATGGGATACCGTGTAGAGTGCAGGATAGCAGATGCTATCAAGAAGAACCCACGCCTCATGAAGATCGGGATGTCCCTTGAGTTCAAGGTACAGTTAACAACATAAAAGCTAAGCCTCGAATAAAAAAGTAAATGCCATACACAGAGATGAAGGCAGCTAAAAAAATTATGCAATGCATCCATTTTCAAGATCAGGTCGACTTAAAGTCACAACATGCATTGGTCATTGTTTTTACCTTGCTCGTTTTTAGCTTCACTTAGCTCATTAGGGGAGATAGAATAGAGTTATCATTAAATAAATAATTCTGTTTACAGGAGGTTGCAGAGAGAATTTCAAAACATCTTATATCCAACATGGACAAAATTAGGATCAAGAGACTCAACGATGGTGTAGCTCCAGGGGCAGGTGTTAAATGGACTGCTGCTAGAACCCTGGACTAGTTGGAACTACCCAGGACTGGTTGCGTCTACCCAGGACTAGTTGGGACTATCCAGGACTAGTTGGTACTACCCTGGACTAATTGGGACTACCCAGGACTAGTTGGAACTACCCAGGAATAGCTGGGACTACCTTGGACTAGTTGGAACTACCCTGGACTAGTTGGAACTACCCAGGACTAGTTGGGACTACCCTGGACTAGTTGGAACTACCTTGGACTTATTGGGACTACCCAGAACTAGTTGGGACTACCCAGGACTAGACCAGCTCAAGAGACTATACTTCAGGACTTCAGAATAAAGTTCAAGTTGAGTGATCTCAATCCAGTCTGTTTTTCATTTTGTGTTTTTGTTTTATCAGAGAATCAATGCAATCAAACTTTTCAAAAAATTAAGTTTCACTTAAAGATATCTCCATGGATTTCTTTCAAATTTGTATTCACACTCAACTCAAAATTCTGATCAAATTTTTGTTTTAAGACTGAAACCTGAGCTTTTTTTTAATTAGACGTAGAAAGTTTTCATTTGTTATTATATTGTCATTTCGAGCCTTTTCTTAAACCAGAAAGTTCTATTTTTAATAAATCTTTATACATATTTTATCGTATTTTTTGTTGTTGTAATTGATTAGTGTGGGGGAGCAGAAGATTAAAAAATAGGTTCCTCAGAATGTAGATTGTCCGTAGTTAAATTTTTTTAAAATTTAGTCTGTAGCGGAAACTTCTCGTTAATTCCTGAAAAATTCCTTTAAACGGATCAACTTTTATTCTAAGTTTCAAGAAGTTATTGAAAATCGGAAAATGATTCTCATAAATTTGCTGATAACAGAGAAATTTGAATGGAAGATTTTACTTTGAACCTATTCCTGCAGGAAAATGGGTGGAGGGGAATTCCCCCACGGCCACATCACCCACCTCATTATTAGTAAAACTTAAAAGGTATTTCTCTAAGTCTGTTTTAATTTGTTAACTCTTATCTTAAATAAACCCGCCAATTAATTATAGCTCTTGGGAATTTTCAAATTGAATTTGTACAATGTACTACGAATCTATATTTTATTGTTTCACACTGGGCTAATTTATTTTTAACATATTTAAAATAAGCTGGAAAAGAGGTTTCCAAGAAACTGTTATCTATATTAAGTGAAGCATTTTTTGGTAAGGAAGATGTCAGATTTTTCCCTGGGATATTTAGAAAGATGAAAATTTCCCTGTATGAGACTTGAAGGACTGGTTTTGGTGAATTATATAACCGTACTATAGGAGTGTGAGAAATGATTTTTTGCATATTTCTTAAAACGTCCTATTTATTACAAATACCTTTCTAAAACTTTCTGTAACTGACATATTTTTTTTCTAAATTCATTTAGTTAAGGCTTTAAATCAGAATAAGTTTTTATAAATATTGCCTGATATCGAGTAGATATCCTTCAATATGCCAAAGTAAAAATTAATCGAAAGCAGGACAGATTTTGCATATAATATTTGACAAAACAAACAAAATTTTTATTTTGTACAAAAATATTAAATATTTATTTAGCTTAGAAGCATTTCAAGGTATCATTTTTTATAGTTTTGCATTATTTTGATTCATGTAAAAGCTGGTTTTTAACTTCAGTATAAACTGGTTTTTTATATATAGACAAATAGTAGAGATATGTTTTTAACTTCAGTATAAACTGGTATAGACAAATAGTAGAGATATGATTTTGCATTTTTTTCATAATTTTTTTTACTCTATATTATTATACATACTCTTTGTGTATAGATATTAGCCCGGTTTCTTTGTCCGGTTCTAGCCATGATTTAGCTGCGACTTCCTAGCTTAGCTATGATTTTGTATTCGTTAGTCCAAAATCAGAGCAAAATCGAAGCTTAGGTTAGATCTGAAGTCGGAGCTAAATCATAGCTAAATATCAGCTGATGGAAATCACACCTGAGGTTAGATTTAGCTTCGACTTCACAGCTAAATCACAGCAAATGGGAACAAACTATTCGCCATTTTTAGGTTTTCACATGATTTTGGGTACAAATAAGCAGACATTAAAACTACTAAAATTGCAAAACATGAAAATAGAGACCAGAAATAATATGTCAAGATGCATAGTTCAGAAAAATAAAAATATTTCTAAGATTTTTAAAAAAACCTAACTTTTTTAAAAAAGATATTTTTTTAATTTTTTAACTAATAAATTAAAAAGAATATTTCTAAAAAATACTTTTTAAAATAAAAAATAAAAATTTTCTTAAGAATATTTATTTTTATTTTGAATACTAAAAAAGATTTAAAAAAAATAAACCTTTTTATCAGATATTTCATTTTAAAGATTATTTCTGTTATTCTCTTTTTCTTCTTCATCTTTTATCTCTACCTATCTATCTATGTATTTATTAGTCTATCCATCTATCTAATTTATCAATCATTTTACAATTTTAAGGCCAAAAATCAAAGACGACTTTTTAAAGCGGTCGAGAAAATATCAATGCCCCACACAATTTTATTTTTTGCGGTCAGTTAGGAAGGCCAGCTGTCATCAAATCATTGTCAGAGCAGCTGAGATTGGATTCATAAAACAAATTACTTGTACTTTGACTAGATCTGAAATCATACTAAATCCAACCTCAAAATTTTGACTTATGAACGAGCTTTGACTATGATCTGAAATCTAACCTTGTAGCTGTGATCTCAAATAATAGTCAGAGTCAAAGCAAGTTACAGCTCGATAAAGAAACCGGGCTATTGTATACTCCCGTGGATGATCTCAGGGGCGTATGCAGGAAACTGTTCAGGGGGGTTCACCTTTTAAGACTTTTCAGGAGGGGGGAGGAGCCTTAGTCCTCACTGGGGGCCGGCCCAAACCCCCGGGGAAATATTTTTTTTTCAGAACAAGAGGGGGGTTAGTCCCTGTAGACTCCCCCTGACTGATCTTATTATGAAGATGGAGGAGGGGGGGGGAGTATAGTACATAACTGCAGATTGGAGAAAGGGGTGCGCGTGATGACGTTCCTTAGTTTAAGTAAAATTGAACGCTAGTACAGATAACTAGTAACTGTTTAGTGTCAACAGCTATACGACAAGATTAAAGTTGACTGCGCTGTTTTAACACTTTGTTCAACACTCAGCTGAACCTGTATTATCTATAGAATACAAACAAGAACATTGGACATGCATATTATTACTCTTCTTGAGTTTAAAGCTATGTTTATCACCACTGCAGGGTTGATTATACTATTCCTCAACTGTACAGCCGTTCTTATCATGTACAGAATCATCAACAGCTTGTACAGTATAGCTCCTAGTATATCCGTACACTATGTACAGGAGGAAATATCTAGAGAAATAAACCCGGCACTGAGTTGTAAAAATGTGACACTGAGTTCTGAAAACGAGAGAACAAGTCAATCAAGAGTGGATCTGAATTTGGAAAACGAGACCTTGAGTCTAGAAATTGGTAAACTACAGGGTGTCCCACGAAACATGACAGTTGGTAAATAGTTTTGAATGTCTTCTTCAATAATCTGTATTAGATGTTTATTTATTTCCGTTTAATTAGTTTAAAAACATCTATTACTCGAATATATTTTACTTTGAAATCAATTTTACTATAACGTGACTGCCATGAAATATTTTTTATCAACTGATATATTTTGTGAGACATCCTGTATATATGTTAAGAAACCGAGATGTTGAGCCAAGAGAACTAGACCCAGAGTTTACGTGCCATTGAGTCAAGAAATAAAGGTTTTGTAAAAGAAGATAATTCCCGTGAACCATAATTGCTGCAGTCCCAAGAAGATTTTCAGCCAACCGATCATCTTGTTTCATGATAAATTTACGATTCTACTAAATATGACCGTCCAAGTTGATAAAATCAAAATATCCTATTACATCTCTAGCTTTGTATATATATTGATGGAACACAAATCTATTTTTTTAGAGTTATAAACAACTCTATTGTATTTTGTTACTTGTTATATAATCATAATTTGTACAAATTTTGTTAATCATTTCACGCGTGACATTACTAATTTTTTATTTGTTTCTTAGATAAAAATAAATATAAGATTATTTTTGTAAGGATTTTTAATACGCTTTGTGTAAAGAAAATCCGAACAAAAATGTGTGTAACTCTATTTATAATATGAGTTCATTTTAAAAATGAGGTTTGTTTACGTGCACAGGGTCTCACTGAACATAATAATTCTGGTAAGCGTAATTTAGTGATCCTTCGTGCAAAGATGACAATGTCCGATTTACAACGGTACCCTTAAAAACTGTTTCTGATTAAATATGAATTAGATTTCAATGTTTGAAATTTTGAAAACTAATAGTTTTAAATTGTAATTTCTTTATTAAAGAAGTGACGTGACAATTTCTGCCGCAAGAAAACGTAAAGGAATTATCAGAAATAAACTTTTTTAAACCAGCTAAACAATCGGATAAAGTTTTTTGTTTAAGGGGACCGTTATGAATCGGGCATTATCATCTTTTGCATGGAGAGTCACATACAATTACGCTTACAGTCCCTTTAAATAGAGGAACTTGAACTGCAGGGAGATGACTTGCTATTTGCTGACGAAAGTCTAAAATAGAAGCTTTCTATATTGTTTTTAACCTCCTGAGAAGCTAAAAGTCTCAAATTCTTTATTTTTTAAACACACCGTCTCATTTTTAATAATCAACGACGACAGTTCAGTCAGTTTTTTAGAAAACCTTCTATATATTGCAGCATTCGTAATGTAATGATAGAAAGAATGGCTTCCAGGCGTTTTCTACTTAAAATATTACAATACAGTGATAACCAGAAAACTGTAGAATAGGAAGACGACATTAAAGCAATACTATAAAGTGCATTTAATGTTGTTGCTAAGCAAATAGCTTTACCGGAAGTAATCAAATCAAATATTAAGTGAATGGGGTCTGTCAATTTCCTATTCCAGAGTTTTCTGGTTATTACTGTATGATGCGAAGAATGTTGTTCAGGTTTAAATTAAAATCATACTAATTAAACCAAATCAGATTACATGTCGCCCTTCACAGTGTAAAAAATACGACATTTTTCTCCATTTATTTACAAATTTTATTTATGGTTTCCGGCCTGAGGCCGTTCCTTCCATAAACTACATTGGTCGAACTTGACGTCTCCTATGTTGGTCGTGAAATGTACGGAGAAATAGTGCTTTGTTCAAACGCGTTCTTCCATGAGTTATCAGTGTCCGAGTATTGTCCGACCATAAACACATACATATGCGACCCCTATCGACGGAAAAAAGGGAAAGCTTATTTACGAATTTGATTTGAACGCGGCAAACTATATTAATCATAGGAAATTGTACTTTGATTAAATTTCAAATTCATAATGGATCTTAAAAACAAGACACTGCAATCAATTTATGAAATGAAATCAGAAAGCTACTTTGATTAGTGCTGCCACCTTTTCTCAAATAAATCATGGCCACAGTACGGCTAATGCACGGCTAATGATACAGATACCGTATGGCGTGAGAAACTCTGTCCGTCCATGAATAACTCACGGGAGACATCTAGCGGCCAAATTATCGTCCTCCAAAGTACGTAAACTACACGTCCACTATCCATAGAAGGACCGGCCTCAGAGAGATCGAGATGAGACTTAAAACTTGATGTAAACTTTGAAGGACTCTAGAGATATATGAGAAGATTGTAGATTACTATTCCACCTTTTTAAAATTAAATTCGCCCTTCATGTGATGAAAAAATGTTAAATTGTCCAAATTTCGGGTTCGAAGTCTGGAAGTTGTTTGAAAGTCTCCCTATAGCATGGAGAAAGATTAGCAATGCTGGAGATGTAATAACGAGTTAATAAATATTGAAATTAGCTTTTTGTTGTGCCTTGTTTTTCGAAAAATCGACTTTTAAAAATTTTAAAAATTCGGATAAAATGTTCAGCCTTTTAAAATCCAAATTTGCTACTTTATAAGTCGTCTTCTTTCATCTAAATCCACAAATGTATGTAAAATGAGATACGTACAGAATATCAGAAGTAATCAATATCATAATGTAAAATTCGTTTAATCCTCAATTATTAAATCCTTCATTCTTCATTCATCATCCTTCGTTTACATAACCTTCACTCTCCATCTTGCGGTCACTCTCTAATCTTTTCATCCTTCGTTCTTTAATACTTTATTCTTTATCCTGAAACCGTCATTCTTCATTCTTTATCCTTCATCCATCAGATTTTATTTTTTATCATTCATTCATCAGATTTTATTCTTTATCCTTCATCCATCAGATTTTATTCTTTATCCTTCATTCATCAGATTTTATTCTTTATCCTTCATCCATCAGATTTTAATCTTTATCCTTCATCCATAAGATTTTATTCTTTATCATTCATTTATCAGATTTTATTCATTATCATTCATTCATCAGATTTTATCATTTTTCAAAACTGACCAAATAATTCAAGAAAACGTTTTAAATCTTTGTCACTGTGAACAAAATTTCAACTATTTAAATGTTTTTAAAATTTTTTTTTCAAATAACTAATACCTTTTTTCGTTGTACCCAATTTATTTTGTTTAGAAAACCCCACGCAATTGCAGTTCAGAGAAATTTTTCTTAATGATTCTCTCTTGAAGGATGAAAATTAGAGCTGATGGATGAAGGATATTATTATTTACTACTTTACAGGGAAGTTAAGGAAAATTTACTTTACCAAGGGTTCCCTCCACCAATTTTGTCTACAAAACATCCAAAACGCAACGAGGGATGTTTTGTGGAAAAATTGGTCGAGGGAACCCGTGGTTATAAGTAAGTTTTTCCCGAAAACTTCGCAGAACGGGTGGTTTTTTTTACAAACAGTCCACAAACTCTTTATGATTCATTAAAAACATATAAATTTTTTTGAAGATCTGTAAATTCTGAGTTTGGGCGCAAAGTCGACGTTCAAAATCGTACTTTTGGGTGGATACATTTTCAGAATTGGTTCTTTTTCGATTATTAAATAACGACGACAAAAATGTAAACAAAATTCTCTAGTAAACTAATAAGATGTTTAGGAACAGGTTGAGATAATAAAAATGAACGTCTATCATCGAAAATAAGTAATATTATTCAATTATCAGTTTCTACAATCTCTAATTCTTCACAAACATTTTCTACGGATTTTGTGGAAGTTTTATTAAAAAGACGACATTTAGAGAACTTGAAGAAATCTGCGAACAAATTTATAGAAAATAAGAAATTCAATATGAACATTAATAAGGAAATAATCAATTCTAACTTCGATTTATTGACAATTTTTTTTAATGCCACACTTCCTGCTGACCTCCTAACCCCCCATGTCCAATACCCTGATTTCGTCACTTTCTTCATATTGGTTTCTGCAAGCCAATGTTTGGTATTTAAGCGATGAAGTTATTCTTATGTTATCATTATCAATACTGTGAATACCTATCTTACCCCTCATATCGCATTAATGCGATACAGCTGTTTGGAGCTGCTAGAGGACATTTTACCTCCACTACTGCTGGCTAGCGATAGCGAAACCAGACTGGAATGCTTCATAGAACCATCAGAGGAAACTTTCGATGATTGCCTTGGAGAATATCTAATTAACGACAACTGGGAGCTTGAGTGGTGCCCAGCTCTGTCCTCAGATGGAAGGGACGGATCTCTACACCAAGACAGCGAGTTAGAACTGAGACCGGTGCCTTCTCTTTCCCCGGATGTCAGGGCAGTTGAAGACTTCCTAGATAGTGAGTTAGAGAAGAACGTGTCCTCTACTAACCTCCTAATGTCCTCTTCACCCTCTGCTGACCTCATGGTATCCTGTCCGGAGAGCCTTGAGTCGGAGTCCTGTGACTCTGGAATTGAAGTCTGCAGTGGAGAAGAGTTTGACTGGTCCCGGCTAATCGCGCCTACAGACATAGGAATCGACCAGTTTACGTGTCTCTTCCTTGTGTCCAAGGAGTCCGACTGTAAACTCGAGTTCTCCCACGTCAACCTATATGACAGTATGAAATCAAACCTAACACGTTAGACCTCCGCTGTGAGAGACCCTGGTTTAGATTTCAATCACATCTGTTCGTCCTTGGAACGTCTTAAACCTTGTGTGCCCAACCCCTAACCTGGAAACCAGACTGTGTACAGTTGGAACTGCTCTAGGAATCTTGATTATATTGATTAGCTGGAACATCTTCCGTTAATTCAGCTTAGTTTAGTTTCGATTATTTCTAACAATTATTTAACTATATATGTTTAGTAAATATAGAACTTAAATGATTTGTCTGTTTTACTTTCATAGAAATAGAAAAGTTTTGAATTAAATCAATTCATCAGTATTTGGCCGCATGGCCAACTTTAATCAGGAGAGACCGAACAAAGTAGAAATTGGCAGTTTAAAATGGTTCAACTATTTATTTATTTAGTATCTAGTTTCAAATGGTTTAACTTTAAGAATTTACTTTGAATCTTGGTTTAAAATTATTTAACTTTTGAAACTAGATTTAAAATAAATTTAAAAAGTTGAACAATTTTGAAACTAGATTCTCTAAATAAATTAAAATGATGAATAATTTTAAAACTAGATTCAAAATAAAGTTTTTAAGAAACTATAGTGTACTTTATCATTAATTCTCACTTAGTGAATTTCATAATGAACGTGCTTTTAACCATCGTGCTTTAACGTAAAATTAGCCGCACATTATATACAAGTTGATTTCAATTCTATTTTCATTTCAACTAAAACAAATATTTTGGAGATCTTTCAATTTATTGGGGTAAAATCCGGGAACCAATGAAGACTTTATGGCACATGTGATATAATGTACAATTAATTTAACTTTAAAGCACGATAATTACTTTATAGCACCTTCATTATGAAATTCACTATGAAGTGAGTAATAATGATAAAGTACACAATAGTTTAACAAAAAGTTTTAACAGCACGTTACCTAGGGACTTGGTCGTTTAAAACGCACGTTAACTTTAACACTTTAAATGTGTGACAGCATAAACACCAGCTCATATTTTTAAAAACTTGAAATATATACAAAAAATTATAATAAATAAACGGTTCATGTTTAAATACTTGAAATATATACAAAAATTTTTAATAAATAAACGGTTCATGTTTAATAAAATATCGTGAGGTAAAAAAAACGCTAAAAATGTCAGTCTTCTCATATGAAAAATAAAATTGTATCTTAGTTATGCATCAGATGGGGATTAAAATCCCAACACACAAGTTGGATATGTCCATGGAAGCGTGAAAGGTTAAAATTAGTGACATGAAATTGGAAACCTTGTAAAATAATGTTTCAAAATTATCATTTTTTATAAATTAACAAACTTACAGATTGGTTTCTGAATATAATAATTGCATTTGTTGTTTTCGTCATGCCAAACAATATTAACGAGAAACAAAGAGTATCTAAAAAGTTGGTAATGACCATTTTTCAACTGAAATATATGTTAAATAATTAAATATATTTCATAGTTCATAAATATATTTCTAATAAAAAGCAAAGCTTTATATTTTTCACAATCAATTTTATATATATCAATGATACAAAATTAAAGAAAAAACAAGTTTGGACAGGAAGAAGGGGGTAGGGGCGGTGATTCCTGAAATCAGGAATATTTCAGTTAATTGTTTAAACAAAATGAGGAATATTCAAGTTTATTCCCCAGAAATCAGGAATACTTCTTTACCTAAAAATCATGAATATTCTACTTTCTATACCTAGATATCAGGAATATTCTAATTCATTTATCTAGAATTCTGGAATATTCTTAATCGGGGAAAATAATAAAAACCAAGTCTTTTCTCGGGATAGTTTTTTTTTTCTATGAACAGAATTGGACTTGAGTACACTTGATCTAGGACAAGTCAAGAAGAAGACCTTTTCAGGAATAAATAAAACAGAAATTGATTTAATCGAATCTTTTCAATTAATCTCCATATCTTCGTCACTACTTGACACACCGTTGGTCCCGTTTGTAAAGCCCGCTGCTTTGCTGCTTCCCGCCGCGGCGGGAATGTTTCGATGGGTAGCAACGCTATTCGTCGATCTGAAATTAATAAAACATAAGGGGCGTATTTTTTGGTTCAACAACAGTGTTACCTTATCTTCGAAATATCTATTCATGCAACTGCCTTGTGTTATAAATAATACGGGACATTATATTTTTGCTGTGCTTAGGACCCGGATCCGTTGGATCCGCAACATTTTGGCTTCCTGGATCCGGATCCGCAAAAATATGCGGATCCACGGATCCTGATCCAATGGGTAAAATATCAACCAAAAACTGCAAAAAAAACTTTTTTACTCCTAAAGCCCAATTCTAAACTTCTGAAAAAAGAGTATATAAAAATTTCCTCATTTCTGAATGGTTAATCAAGTTTTGGGATAAAAACAAAACAAAAATTTGAAAATTATTTTTTGTTAAAAAAATTCAGTAAATCGTAAAGACCTGGATCCGGATTCGGTTTTGGATTAGGATCCATTTTTTCCAGTGCGGATCCAGGATCCGGTAAATAGATCCTAAAGCACTGCATTTTTGCCGGGATTTTTACTTAATTTAGTTTGTTTTCGGTTAAAATTCAAGCCTTTAAATCCCCTCACTATAATTTCCCAAACTATAAACATTCCTTTTGAAACCGAAAAAAACGCGAAAAAAACACACAAAAAATTAGCACAATTTAGTAAAAATTCTGAAGATTAAAATTTTCTAAAAAATTATTTCTCATGATGTCCCAGGACAATTATGAGAAACAGTATCCAGAACATTTTTAAATTACAGGGAAAAAAACGGAATATTAATTCTCTCAAAATGGAATTCATGTATTTAATAACTCTCAGAAATATCAGAATTGATGCAAATTTATACCCCGAAGGATTGAAAAAAATTGTTGCATTCTAATGAACCAGCTTTCTATAAAAAGGAATGTCATTTACTTTTCACCAGTGTTTAGGATCCATTTAATTTTGATGTGGATCCAGGTTATTTGTTGTCGTATTTTTTTTAAGCTTATTTTTATGCTAAAACTTTACGAACCTTTCAGAAATCAGGAAATTTTTATAATCTATCTTTTTTCAATAGTCCAGAGTAGAATTAGAGAGAATAAAAGTTTTTTTTTTGCAGTTTTCGGTTGAAATTTTGCCCTTTGGATCCGGATCAGCACATTTTGCGGATCTGGATCCAGGAAGACGAAATCTTGCGGATCCAACGGATCTGGATCCAAGGCACTGATTTCCACTATTAGATGAATGTTTACACCAAATTCATGATGTTTGATATCTTTGAATAGGGTGAAAATGAATTACCTTTTGCCAAAGGCATTTAATAGCAGAATCCAAAACAAAACAAAAACAATGAGTGTTTTTTTCTTTTTTTGAAAATCTTCAAATACTTTCTTCCATCAATCGTAAAATATTAAACGCTAGGTTGGATGAATAAGAAATGTGGTATAACTGTCGAAAATTTTGTTGATCCATTCAATGAAAGAATCATGGTTAGGGTATAATTCAAAGATTCATGATTTCAAACACCGTACGGCGTACCCTCCTATTATGCCCAGAAAAAAATCGACATTTGTTATTATTGAAAAAAAATTCTAGCAATCCTAATACTTCACGGTAAAATGCACCCTAGCAACATCCCCCAACCTACTTCAGGGTAAAATGCACCCTATCAACATCCCCCAACCTACTTCAGGGTGAAATTTTTTAAGAATCCCGGAGGGGGGCTCGAGGGAAATTGATTTTTAAAGATTTTCACCCTTTTTACTCATTTTTTCCCCAAAAGTTTTCTCAAACAAACCTATCTTCTGACAAAAAAAAAATTCAGGAAAATATACACCCCTGACCTACTAATATTGCTATCTGTCAATCATCAGTTGGTTTTACTAACCTGCGTTGATAGAATAGGACGTACGCAGCCTTTGACACAACATCAGACTCCTTAGCCTCGGTTACTCGAGCATCATCGAAATAATACCATTTCCCGGTGGCTCGGTTCTTACCATACGCAGTATCTACAGATAAATCAATTAATCAATCAAATCATCAATCAATTTATAAATCAATCAATTAACTAATCAGTTAAATTGACTGTGTGCGTAGAGTGACCCTCTTTGGAAAAATGACAATGCCGGACTGACAACGGTACCCTCGAATGCTTTGTCTGATTAAGTAAGAACAAAAATTACGCTTAGTCTCTTTAGGTCATCATTTTACCAATGTAATATTAATAAAACCAAGTTTATGATGCAATTCATTATAACAATTACAAAACAATTATAAAACAATTATAAAACAATTATATACCCCCTTTCATTTTTCGCGAACACTCCCTTTAAGGTCTACTGTCAATAATTTTTTGGGACAGTTTAGGCAGTAAAATAAAGCGTATTAATTTTCAAGAAAAATTAGCAAAATTTAACAAATACCAATGTTTTTTAAATGTTTATTGATGTATTGTATATACAAACAGCTTAGATTCACACAATCTAAACCTGGGAGAAACCTTGCAGAAAACTCGTACGATCAAATTTCCAATCGTCGCATTTGGGAAAGATTTGTTTGGCCTCCTCTTTTTGGTATTTTTACTGGGTTGGATACATTTAATTTTGATGCGGATCTTATGACCTTACTTAAAAAATGGATCCGGATCTAGTCTGTGAAAATTCAAAATTTAATGAGCTACATTCAACAAATACGAGTTTCCCAAATTTCCCCCTTTTAATTTAGTTGGTTTCATGCTTAAACTTAATGGACCATTTAGAGAGCTGAAAGTTTTGATAATCTATCATTAAATTTTTGTGTTTTGTGTTTGAGAGCAAAGTTTTTGATATTCCAATATATTTTTGGACAAATTTAGCTTACGAGTAAAAGAGACTGTCTGTATAAATACCTGCACTGGGAATTGAACAGGAACATCAATCTTATCTCTCCAATATCTATTATACGAGAATCTTTTCAGACTTATTATCAGTATCTCAGGCAGCATCCACAGATCAAATTTCTTGGTTGCCTGCTGGTGCTCCTTACATTTAGGGCAATACCAGGCGTCATCAGCTCCCAGCTTCTCTTGGCTTGTGTACAGCTTTAGACACTCTTTCAGATCAACCTTCTGTTTCTTCGTAGGTGTATGCATCGACGCATCTTGGCTGAAATCCTCGGCTGCCTTTTCGTTAAAGAACTTGGCCTTGGCCTTCAAGTGCCAATCCAGACCGAGAAAGTTTTTCCGCTCAAGTCTGATTAGTCCGTCGTCGTCGCAGATTCCGTCGCGGATTTGAGCGTTTCCGTAGTTGTTGATCACGGAGAAAGAAAACATTCGTCCGTTTTGTATTCCCTCATTTTCATCCTCCTCCTCCTCCTCCTCCTCCTGGGGACAATATAAGGATTAGATTTAATAAAGAATTTTTCACCCTTCGCAACAACAAAATTAACTTCAATTTGCTTTGACATAATCTTCATTATTTTGAACTCTTCTATTTTTCTAATATGAAATTTAAACAAAAATATCTTTATTTTTTAGAAAATTTTTTTTTCTCTCGCTACAATACATGCTAAATTTATTAATAACTATATTCTGAGCAGAAAACTTTAGAATGGTAGATATCGAGATTAATGCTTGATCTCCTCTTTTTCTTAATCTCCAGTTTAATAATGCTTGTTCTCCTCTTGTTATTAATCTCTAGATTAATTATTAGATCGGGATTAGGGATATCCCAGTCTAAAGTTTTCAGCTCTGGTCATTTTAATGATTTAAGACAATTTACTTGAATCGCATTTCAATACTAATTCTTTAACAGAAGGTGTTATTTTGACCAAAACTATAATGGTTTAACTTAAGGTTTTAAAGCAATTGAATAGGAAACTACTCAAAAAGGTCGCTTTACATAGGGGGGAGGGGTGTGGCGGCGCCTTATCTTTAAAGTTTTTTACCTGTATGTTTAGACCATTGCTGATCTCACTGGTCGGTGATTCGTCAGTGGCCGGGGACTGGGCGGCACTGCCCCCTGCTCCACTGCTGGAGGGTAAATCACAGTTTTCTGACAATGAATCTCCGTTAACCTCCATCTTCTCACCCTTTTCTTCCTTGGTCTCCTTCCACCACTGGTCCTCAGGACTTGGTCTCGATACATACCTCACAAATTCGTTAAATAAATTAAAGGCGAAACTTGGGTGGGAGGGGTGGGGGGGCGCAATCTGCCTCCATTAAAGTTAAATATGGCATTTTAATGTTTAAAAACAGGTACGAATGTTAAAAATTTCATAATTTTGTTAATTTAAAATTCTAGGATTTTCTTTTAAAATATTATAAAAAAATGTTTAAGAAAAAATTACAATTCTACAGTTACACCACTGCACCCCAATGAAATATTCCAATTCTACAGTTACACCACCCCAATGAAATATTACAATTCTACAGTTACCCAATGAAATATTCCAGTTTTGCCGCTCTGCGGAAACCTAAAGAATGAAGGGGAGGGGGAATACTTTTTGAAGAAAATATATACCCATTAGCTTGGAAAGCATGCTTAGGAAAGTCATAGTCATTCCCACCGCTTACCCGCCCCTGGTCGTAAATTAAGATTTTACCTATTTTTAAAAAAGCCCCACTCAACTTAGAATCTCAAAACCAAACTAAGATCTTAGACTGATTATTTGGGGATTCCCGAATGCCCAAATAATCAGTCAAGAAATCAGGCAAATCAGTCAAGAAATGTAGATGTTTTATTTGTTTACCTGGACATTCTGTCTAGAAGCAGATCGTAGAGAGCCTCCTCTGTTACTGCGCTGGGTACAGTGACGAGGAAAGGTTGACCGAAAAGAGTTGAAGGGGAATATCCTGAACCTGATCTCCGGGTCCGTAGATACACGGGGACTACAACCTGGATAAAACCGGTTCAATCAATTAAGTTTTCCTTTTATTATTTTGTAACCAAATATATATCTTAAAAAACACCATTTTTAAAGGTTGAAGAAAAAATCAAAAACTAGATAGAAAAAAAACTAATTTGTAATTTGTACAATGTACATGCCCGTTCACATCGGTACCCTCTCATTCAAATATGATAAAACATATCCATGCTTTCTATCTCAAAGTTGATAATTTTCATTTGTTGGATTTCCAGACACTTTTAAGATAGAAAAACGACAATAGTACTTCTTTATTTAATCTTAAATAAAGGATCTTAAAGATTACTATAATACAGGGTGTCCCACATCAAATTAGACCGCGTCATTGGGTCTAAATTACGATTTGGGGGACAAATCAGAAAATTTAAGAAGAATGAATCATTTTGAAAAATTTAATAAGGCTAATAGAAATTTTTGTTTGCAGAAAATGCTAGATTTTTTTAGTATAATGTGCGTATTTAGGTGTTAAAGATTGGAGATAATCTAATATGATATGGGACGCTCAGTAAATCGGCCAAGTAATTCTTTCAATATAAGGACCAATTAAAACTCGAAAAAATAAAAAAACAAAAAGTAATGATAAAAATTGGAAAACTAACTAGTTTTTTTTAAATTAATTGATATAAAATATTTTTTTTTCGCTCACCTGATTACTGTCTTCTGGGTCCGACACTTCGTAAACAAAAATATCATCTTTTTCTAGAATATTGGAGAGAGGGTCCCCGCCAGTGTAAAGCTTGTGAAATCTAAATAATATGACCAGCTTTTATAAGCAGTCTTAGATCGTTTTGAAACCTACTTTCAAACCAAAAACAGAATCTATCTTGAAAACCTTTTTATTTTTACTGTTAGAAAAGGTTTCGAAAAAGTGAATTACGAATAATTTAAAAACCGGTTTTTGAACGATCCACAACTTCTATTGGATAAAGTTATCTACTCCATTAAGCCCAATCTCCAGGAAGGTAAATTAAGATAAATTTGAAAATAATCAAGTAATATAAACATTCAAAGCCTAGCAATATTTCTTGCAGAACGGACAAGATAGAAGAATCAGAAGAAAAAGAACCCGGTTGTGTGAACAAGACCGCCAACGGGTGGAAACGGGTTACGTTCATAAAGGAAATTCAAGCCTCTAATAATTAACGGGTAAAACTTATTTCCCTCGCCATAAAATCCGCAATGGAAAAATGGATCCTGATCCAAGTCATGAAAATTTCTACAAGATTTTCTGTTTTTTTTAACAAAAGAAAAAATTTCAAATATCTTTCTTCTTCTTTCTTGCTTATTTTAATGCTTAATCTTGACGATAAACCTTTCAGCGATTGATAATCTCTCTTTTTAAACAGTTAAGATTTAAGTTTCAAGAGTAAAAGTATTTTTTCGCAGTTTTTGATTGATATTTTGTCCCTTGGATCCGAGTCCGTGGATCCGCATATTTTTGCGGAATCGGATCCAGGAAGCCAAAATGTTGCGGATCCTAAGCACTGGTTTGAATAATGGAAGAAAGTTTACCTGTGATTGTATAGATCTGCAATGACTAGTTTATTCTGTTCGGGGATCTGAACCAGATGCCTCAAGGCAGTATCCAGGTCAGAGATATATCCGTCCTTGGGACAACTCACTTTGTACTGAACTGGAGCCAGGGACGGAGTCAAGGATACAAAAAATACCTAGAACAGGATGGTTTAGTTTTTGATTAATTTTATTGGTTTGAATAAAGTTCCTTTTAGGATTAATAATTTAAAATTGAGGCTTAGCATTCGTTTACTAAAGGGTAAGCTTGATTATAGATCAGGATTGGTCATGTCGACTTGGGATTAACTTTACGTTTATAAGGTTTAGTTTGGAACATTAGGTTTATTTAAGTTTAAAATCAAGTTTTGTTTAGGATTAGATCAAGACTAATTCAGGTTTAGTTGAGGTCTGGTGTGAAGTTTTTGAATTTATTTCTTACCTCAATTTCACGCTCTTTTTTAACTGGTAATGGAAGGGAGAGATAACAGGTTGGGTCGAAAGTTACAGAGATCTGGATACCACAATTTCATGTCAAGTTTGTTTATTTGGAATAATTAATAATAAATAAAAGCAATGCTTTGAATGCGTATCCGGTTCTTAGTTATTCAAATATCCGGATCCGATTTGGAACTTATTCCGGATCCAATTATTGAAAATAAACAGAGATCATGATCAGATAGAAAAGGCGACATCATTGTTTTTTCTTATTTAAAAAAACGTTCCTTTGAACACATTTCTGTTTTAATGATTCTTTCAAACCCCAATATTTAGGAGGATCCGAATCCGTATTATTTTGGCTTGCTGGATCTGGATCCGGATCCAAAGGGAAAAATATCAACCAAAATAAAAAAATTTACTCTCAAAACACATATCAAAATTGTTGACTAAAAATAGATAGCAAGTTTTTAATATTTCTGAATGGTTCACTAAGTTTTAGCAAAATAAGAAGAGAAAAAGTAGAAAAATGTTTGAACATTTTTCATTTGTTAAAAAAAACTCAGTAAATCTTGAAGAAATGTACAGGATCCGGATCCGGATCAAAAACCAACCGCATCAAAATTAAATGGATCCTAAACACGGAAAAACCCAAATATTCCTTGATGAAATAATTTCCTTATTGCATTGTGGACAGACTAGTGTACTCTTGAGTAGACCATGAAATATATCTAGAATAACCGAATCATTTCGTCTCTTGTAGTTCTCCCAGGCCTCCCTGGCAATCTCCCTATCGTCCCTGTCTGTGGTGTCTCCCATCTCAACATACGGTTTCTTCTTTATTCTAAACAATAATAATTTTTAGAAAAACTATGAGAGCACACATTTCTTCATATAGCACTATTTGTTTTCATCCCTATTTGAAGCAAGGTACTAATGCAAGGGAAGTTATTTCAAAAGTGTACGCATTTTTTGTACTGCAGTGTACTGTCTTTGGGCGGAAAAGTAAATACAAGACGGATGTTACAGCCTGACATGGAATACATTTTCACAAAAATAATCTATGAAATATTTTAGTCATGGGAATCTATTATGTGAATTTTCAAAATTATCAAAATTTAATGCTTTTAACCTCCTAGGATACTAAACGAACACTGATGCATCTTTTCTTGTTTACAAAGTCCGCCCAGAGAGAACTGGTTTCAATATGTACGCAGAGTATACGCGACCGCAATTAACTTTCCTTGCATAAGTACCTTGATTTGAAGGAACTGTTAAGAGTGATTTCAAGTGACCCTCCATGCAACCATGTCAACGCCGGATTCACAATGGTACCATTGAAATTTATATCTGATCATAAATGTCGTTCTTCTAGGCTTAGTGTTAAATTATGATAATTCCTGCCTTAAGCTCTAGAAATGCACAAGTTACTTTGTAAAGAAACTACTATTGAAAATAATCAGTTTTTATGATTATTACCATCAATAACTAGTTCAAACGTGATCAGATAAAGCTGTTGTTTATATCCAATCAGAAATGTTCTATTAATTTTTAGTCAGTTGACAGTGAAGTGTTAAGAGCTTAATTATTGCAACAACAAAGCTAACCTATTAAGGTCCTCGTGTAGTCCATCTAGAAGGAATGTTAGTAGCTCCTGACTATCCTGCTGTTGATATCCACTGAACTGTGGAGCAAACCGTCCTACAACCGTCTTGAAGTTTCGGGGAACAACATACTTGTATCTAAACAAACAGAGTTAGGAATTTTTAAACATGTCGAGTATGGTGTCTCAAAAAACTTAACTTAACTCTCAAATGGGAAAGTTTTTCCCATTTTCAATTTTCAGTGTTTCTTATCTTACATCTACTGTACGTTAAGAAATCAACACACTTAAAAATAAAACTTCACAATATTAATATGAGGTGTCCACATGTTGAAATTGAAAATTCACGTTTTTTTGAGACACCTTCATGTAGAATTGAGCTACAGGGTTAACCACAAAGGATGAGACTTCACTGTACAAAATTTATACTATCTGTTTCCATATATTTATGATTCACTGCAACTGTAAACTTCTTTTGGAAAAGCCTTAAAAAGATTACAATTGAGGCAGACGACTTAATTTAAACTCAGAATCCTAAAATTCAAAGAGTTAAAGGTCGTCTTTACATTCTCATGATTTGTGAGTAACCCAGTAGTGTAGATCAGGCCAAATCAAATAATTCTCTAGATATCCAAAAAACCACTTCTCTGAGTTGAGTTTAACTCGACGATATTAGATTTAGTTTTATTAATCTTAGATATTAATTAATTAATTGGAACAAATATTTGTCTTAAGTTATTTGTTGCTGATTTGGAGTTTTTTACGTTCAAGACATTTTTGTACTAGCAAAAATAACTAAAATTACGATGTAAAAATGAAAGAATATATAAGAAGTTTACAAAGAAGACAAAGAGATGAATACAAACAGAAATTTAACTTTAGACTGACAGGTGAGAATCAGAGGAATCAGAGGTTACTTCTAACAGAAATTTAAAGTTGGTCTTTACATATGATACGCAAATAAAACAATTCTTTCTAAATTCTAAAATTTAATTTTAGACCATATCAGACCATTATAGTGCTAAGATTTAATTTGTTTAAAGCTCACAAATGTCAAACTAAAGGATATATTAATAAGACTTAAGAATTCACAAGCAACTTAAAGCTTCCTTTAATAAACAGTTTATGGGTCTCGCGTTTATTTCAGATACGAAACATATCTGTTGTTACAGCCTTCAGTATATCCAAATAAACATGGGAATTCAGTGATGATTTTGATACAGTCCTTGTAAATGATATTTTGATTTAGTACGGTGATGATCATTGCAATTAGGAAATAGAACGACAGCTCGTAAGAAAGACGATTTAGAATTGGTCTCTTCATTCCCATATTTATTGGGATACCCTACATTCTACATAATACCTTCCGCTCCATATATCCTTGATAAGTTGACCGAATGCCCTTGCAATCTCTCCCTTCATACCGAGAGGGTTCTCTTCATTAATATCTTCCTCATAGTTATCATTCTCAAAATATTCAGCTATTGCCGGGGTATTCGATAAACCCTGAAATAAATAAAAAATGGATAATTTTCCATGAAAAAGTGAGGAATGTTTCCTTCTGGGTTTTCATCGCAGATAAGGAAAAAAAATGAATTTTTGAGTAAAAAGTACCAATGAGAGTGGAACATTTTCCAGGGACCGAATTTAAATTCCGCGCCACTTCAAATTTAAATCACCGATTCAAATCCTTCCTTAATCTTTAACTTAGAACCGGTGGTCAAAATTTGAACCGACAGTTTATAGTTCAACGACATAGCCTTAATTAAATTCGGTCACAGTTGAAGTCCAATTTTTTCTCCCCCTCTCTTCCAAGAAAAAAAAGTTCTTGTAAAATAATTCCCTCGGGAAACTACGAATTTAATGTTTTTCTTTAGTTGATTTGAATTTATTTGGGTTAGTTTAAATGTTTACCTGTAGAATAGAATTCATAAAACATGTATTTCCTAGGTTAGATAAACCACAGAGCCCTGGTACTCCGTCTTCTGCTTCAACTCCGTCCTGGTAGCTAGAGGAGCTAGAGGATCCATTTATACTAAATATACACATATTAGAATATACCGTCCTGGTAGCTAGAGGATCCATTCATACTAAATATACAAATATTAGAATATACTGTCCTAGTAGCTAGAGGATCCATTTATACTAAATATACACATACTAAATATACAAATATTAGAATATACTGTCCTAGTAGCTAGAGGATCCATTTATACTAAATATACACATATTAGAATATACCGTCCTAGTAGCTAGAGGAGCTAGTAGATCCATTTATACTAAATATACAAATATTAGAATATACCGTCCTTGTAGCTAGAGAAGCTAGAGGATCCATTTATACTAAATATACAAATATTAGAATATACTGTCCAAGTAGCTAGAGGAGCTAATAGATCCATTTATACTAAATATATACATATTAGAATATACCGTCCTGGTAGCTAGAGGAGCTAGAGGATCCATTTATACTAAATATACAAATTTTAGAATATACTGTCCTAGTAGCTAGAGGAGCTAGTAGAGCCATTTATACTAAATATATAGATATTATAATATATCGTCCTGGTAGCTAGAGGAGCCATTTATACCAAAAATATAGATATTAGAATAAACCGTCCTGGTAGCTAGAGGAGCATTTATACTAAATATATAGATATTAGAATATACAGTCCAGGTAGCTAGAGGATCCATTTGTACTAAATATAGTTTTTAAAATATACCGTCCTAGTAGCTAAAAGGTCCATTTGTACTAAATATAAAGTTTTTAAAATAAACCGTCCTAGAAGATTAAAAAATATTTTTGGTCAACGTTGCCATTTTAAATTTCGGATTTTTTTATTTCCTGAATGTAACTTTTTACAACTGGTATATGTACAATTAAAGAAAGGTACTTACGAATTAAATGATTTATTTGTCTGTACAGTGGTGGAACCGTTTTCTTTCTAAACATCATAAAATATAATTAATACTAATACAAACAAAATGTTTTCCTGGGACCGAATTTAATGAATTTGAGCTAGGTCGTTGAAACCGATTGTAAGTAATTTAGCAGCGACGTTTAATTCATTGAATACGGTCCATGGAAACTAAAAAAAATAAAAAGTGTCTTTACAGGTTGTTTTTCTAAATATTTTAAATTGATTTATTTGTTTCGATCCCACAAAAACCACTGGTTAAGGGGGATATATTCTCTAGAATTATCCCCCCCCCCCCATAAAAAAGGATTTAAGATGCTAGTAGATAAAGAAATGAAAAGTATGAAGTGTTCTCCCTTTATTTGACTTTTTGTAACTTTTTACTCATTCACTGTTCACCTAAATCCATCGAATAATATCTTAAAAACACACTCAACATCTAGGGAAAGGAAGATGAACCCCTGTAGGGAGGTACTTACCAGGAGACTGACTGCAGGTGGTGGAGAGGGAATTTTAATTTTCTCTGTCGTCTTTGCTTCAATAGGAATCGGACTAAACATAAAAAAAAACAATTGATCGATCAACCATTCGTTCACAATACACATACACTTTATGCAGTGCATCAAAATTTATAAAAAAGAAATATCTTTTCTTGTAAAACTGAGTACTCATTTTATTAAACTTAAGGGGAAAATGAGAAGAAAGTTTGCATAGCAGCATATTTTACTTAAAACATTCCCCCAACCCCTTCCAAAACAAAATCATGGTTTGAATTTTAAAAATTAAAAAAATTCACCAAGTATACCGAGAAGTTGGGCAAGGAATGTATCCGGAAATTTTAAGAATTTATCCCCAACACAAATAAATTTAGATTAGATTACAAATTTCAAGTTTCAAAACCATTCAGAGGTTTACAAAAAGTGCATAATTCGGATAGGAATGATTTAAATACGAGTCTTTTTAATCATCAACATTTTACAACTACGTTAAAGGTCCGAAAAAGTAGTTCAGACAATTTTAACGTATTTTGGAATTCTAACCTAAAACCTAAAAAAAAATATCAAGAATTTATGCAAATCAGTAATTTATACAAATTTATATGATAGGGGGGGCAGGGGGGTGTAATCAAAATATTACCTTATTTTATCTCTAGGCCATTCCCCATCCTCACCCTTAACCTCAAGTATTAATGTCTGCCCCGGGTATAAACCGGACTCCTTGAAAATAAAATTACTTACAAAAAATAATAATAATTGTTAAAAATTTCTCTAAATTACAATAAATTAGCCATAAAAGTAAATTATCCATTAAATTAAATTTACACGTCTGACAAAACTTGACAATATAAAGATAAGCAAGTTTAATATTGAATATGCAGTAAAGGTCTGTACACCGTTATTTAAGATATCTGAAATGTTTTTTTCTTAGAAAAGTGTATTCAATGTTACACTTGGTCGTGGTTTCTACATCCTTTTTAATACTCCCCCCCCCCCCAAAAAAAAAATATCATATGTTTCCCCCTAAAAATTATTTAGTTTCCCCATTTTAGCGAGAAAAAAAAAATCGTATGAAGATGTTTTTTGCTCCGTGCACACATAACTTCGGAGGAGGGGGGGGGGGGATTTTTTAAGAGGGGACGAAGGAGGGGGGCCATTTTAAAACAAAATAAACACCCCTGGCTGTACCTGATATGTAGATGATAATCCTTCTATAAGTTCATAACATGAAGTGTATTTACTCCAGACTCTGCACTCTGCTGTTTCTGGTATATTGAACTCTCGTCTCATTTCATTCATGATGTATGCTAAACAAAATTTAGAATAAAATTTAGAAATTAAATTTTCAATTTTATTTCTTGTTTTACAATTTATCCAAGGTGAAAATGTTCACACTTGAAATATTAAATAGAATATAGCCTAGTTCCATAAATCAAAGAAAACATATGATGAAATATAGAAATCAATTCAAACTATTTAATTCCTCAAATTCCATTCCATAGACTAAACTAAATACGTTTGAAGATACTTCGTTATCGATATAAACTTTTATTAAAAAAGAAGTTAAAATTAGGACATTTTCTTTTATATTTGCATGTTTTCTAGAAAATTATGGCACTTTTTCGTCATGTTGGCAGATTTCATGGACAGGATACTGGATCTGAGTGAATATTGAACGATAAATTATAACTAATTAAACCCCTAACCTATGGTGTCCGCTTTGCTAAACTTCATTTTGATTTTATTCTCTGGATCTGAGTTCAGAGCTAGACAAAGCTCGGTTAGATATACCTCGACCCTGCAGTGCTTCACAAACAAACCATACTCCCTAAACA